ATTCTTCTCCACAGTATTTACTTGGAAAAGCGATGGGTTTAATGAACACAACAAGAATCTGGGTAGCACTGAGATGAAAATACCACTGTGGTTGACGGGAAGTAGGGTTTGCAATGGACTAGAATAACTTAATGTGAATAAATCCCCAGTACCAGATAACTTGTACCCTTGGGCAGGGGCGGACTGACCCATCGGGCAGTCGGCCACTGCCCGAGAGCCCACGACCAGCATGGGGCCCGTGGCCAGGCACGGCGATAAGGCTGTACAGGCAGCTGTCCTGTACCAGGCCGGCCCCATCAAGTGAGCGTGTGAGTGGGGACGAACCCAGCATGAGCTAGGGGAGTCTGTCTCCACACATCCTGCCAGCGCCAAAACTAGCGGGGGGCATATAATATTAATCAGCCGGGGTGGTTGATACCCCTCTCCCTCCCTCCACCGGCCGCTCTGTAGGCACTGCCAGGGCACCTAAAGGGTGCCGGGGAAGGGGGGGGCCTAGAAGGTTGGGCAGAGACTCAGCCGGGAGTGAGACGATACGAACCCCCCTGGCTGCTTATAGTGAACTATGAATGAGCTGAATAGCGATGCTGTGTGTGTGTCTATTGTATTGTGTGTACTGTATTGCATGTGTACTGTGTGTACTGTATTGTTTGTACTGTGTGTACTGTATTGTGTGTACTGTATTGCATGTGTTGTGTGTACTGTATTGTGTGTACTGTATTGTGTGTACTGTATTGCATGTGTATTGTGTGTCCTGTATTGTGTGTGTACTGTATTGCGTGTACTGCATTGTGTGTGTCGTGGAGGAAGTTGCAAGGGTGCAGTCCAAAAATCCAGCTCCATTCGGCCGAGAATTTTCCAACTGACTCCTTTGATCAACTAATCGAGGGATGCCAGGCAGCATGGTATTTACAGTGGCTCCCACACAGCAAATTTCGGCTGGTTCATGAGGAACTGGACAAAGTTTGCAGTGTGTATAGCCTACTTTAGTCTAGAGTTAGGGACTATACTTTGTAGGGGTGCCTTGGCACGGAAGAATATCTATACATTTATTTGCACATGCATACAAAAAAAAGCCCAGTTTTGAGCATTGCAGTTGTAGCGCTCACCCATGAAGGAGCCACTGAATAACCGGGTATTTCTATCCCCCTACACCAATGTACCGCCCAAATCGTGGATCCACAGGACACCAACACACCTTAGAACAGTTTTATGGCAGATTTAATGATAACACAATATATGAAGGCAACTAAGGCAATAGTAACCCAACAATCACATGAAGGAATATTTAGCAGCAGGCTAAGGCACTCTGCAACTCAGTAGCTGCAGCTGTCTGCTGCCAGCACGGGTGTGTGCGAGGCCAATTGTCTCTAAATGTCCTCCCTTGAATGGGGTGTATGTCCCTTTAAGGTTTTCCTTTAGCAATGCCCACCCCTTCCTAAACTACTGGCCAGTAGTGGTGTCCTAAGCTAGCCAGCGTTGGGGCCCTTACTGTAGTGCAGGTATGAACAACAAACAGGCGGTCAATATGGCCAAAGGCCTCTCACCAATCCTCCGTCAGTTGGAAAAGATGAAGCTGAACATTCTCCTCTCTCAGCTGGGCTGGCTGGATCACCCCGGTGGCTGGTTCGGCCATGCTACCAGGTCTCGACGTCTTTGCGGTAACCGCGTCACCGGACCTCACTTCAGGCACTCGATCGGGTCCTCTCCGATTCAGCACTCAGGTCAGTCTCTCTGTACACCGCTGCACAGAGCCTGTGTGTTCCTGTATGTCAGCGGTGACCACACAGCTCTGTTGCACACATTCTTAACCCACACATGGTTACACAGGTCTGTCCTCTTCAGATGGCTGTCCCAGACTGACTGCATTCAGCAGCCACCGCTCATAAGTCTCCTCCTCTCTCCTGCACAGCCTCCTGGGAGTTGCAGTTTCAGAGAACAGAGAACATACTTGCAATATATCCATATCTGCTCTGCACTGCAATCCCCATAAGTCCATAAGTCTCTGCCTCTTATCACACACAGAGGCCATTTACTGTTTGCAGACAGAAACACAGTTCTCTACAGTAGCACATATATACATCCACATAGGGACTACACAGTTCTAAAGGAAAATGGTAGTCTATGAATTTGAGGGACCCTGGGCAATTGCCCAGTTTGCTCTCTGTCCTATAGACATGTGCGATTCGTATCGTCCTGAATTGAAATCCGGACAAATATCAGCAAATTCGAACATTTGGATGCATCTGAATTTCCAAATGAAAGAAATAAATCAAAACATATCCAAATTTTCCGATAACGAAATTTAGATGCATCCTACATTTTTTCCCGAATGTCATTCGAAATGAACTTTTGTCGTTAAACGTTAAAAAAAAAACAGCGTGGAGTCCCCTCCCCAATTCATACTAAACCCTTTAGGTCTGGTAGGAATTTTAGAAAGGACCCCCAATGCCCCCACCCCAAAAAAATGCATGGGGTCCCCCAGAAAATCCCTTACCAGACCCTTGATCTGAGCAGCAGTCTGGCAGGCAGGAAAGGAAGGGAA